CAGGATTCCAGAATCCGTCGGGGATTATCTTTCCACGCGCATTTTTCGAATAAAAATATAATGTTCATATACATTATATTTTTATTACATACAAGTAAAAATTCAGCCGCGGGCAATTTTGATCCGTAAAATATTTAGGTACAAGGTACGCGTTCTTGGTGGTAAAGAAAGAATAGAAAATTGAGATGGTTTTAACTTCCGCCGCCGCGCGTTGATTGGCGCAATGCGTGATGTATTCACGCAGTCTTGAAGGCGCAATGCGTGATGTATTCACGCAGTCTTGAAGGCGCCATGCGTTTCGCGCGATGTGGTTTGATGGTTTTAACTTCCGCCGCCGCGCCGCGCAGACGCGTTGATTGGCGCAATGCGTGAAGTGTCTTGAAGGCGCCATGCGTTTCGCGCTGACCGCACTGTGTTTGGCGCAATGCGTAAAGTATTAATGCATTCTTGTAGGCGCTATCCGTCTCACGCTGACCGCAATGACCGCACTGTGTTTGATGCAATGCGTGAAGTATTCGTGCAGTCTTGTAGGCGCTAATATGTGTTACATGCCGATCGCCGCGCCGAGGGCTTCGTCTTTTCATCTCAAGTCCTCGTCATCACCTGTCTGCGCCGCACCGTTCCAGGCCAAATTGCGTATTTGGTTTCTCTCTTAACTCGACTTTTTGAAGGTGCTGTCTCTTGTATCACCGAAAGACGAACAAATTAGAAATGACTAAACTTTAACTCTCAAGAAATGAGAAATTTTTTCGCCTTTTCTCGTTTGTATTTTTTTTTTTCTGAATCCGATTTTTTTTTAATACCTACATTTGAAAAAATTGCAAAATTTGCCGCCATGGGCCGCGGCCCATGTGGCCACCCCCTTGATCCGGCCCTGACTCGCGCTCAGGGGTATGTATGTTGCCTGTGTAATAAAATTAAAGGCGAATCTCAAGTGGACATTTCCTCCCAATAGGGTTTGTATCACCTACCTATTTGTTTTGGCCGAGTGGGTTTTCTCTTTTGAAACCATTAGAACTTCTTTTTTCTATTTCTTAAAAGAAAATACTTGAGTATCTTGAATTAATATCTTGTTTTTGTCTTTCCTTTTTCTTCTTTTCTGGTTAAACTTTTCAGAAATCAGGACTGATCTTTGGCCCAAAAAATTTTGGATGCTTATTTATGAAATAATGGCGCAGCATGACTAACCTTTTTTCCAAATAAAATTCCCAAATTTGTAGCCCTAAAATATTTCGATTTCACACCAAGGTGAAGCACAATTTTTTCTTTAAATGAAAAAATCGAAAAAAAGATCGTTCTCAGTAATGTTGAGGTTTAGGTTCAATAATATTGCACATATTGCAGTTATATTACAAAAACATTATTGCAATATATTGCAACATTCCAGTTAAAATAATACTTGGGTACTATTGAAAACAGCGGAAAGAAAAAACTTCAAAACGAACCAGGAATTACCTATTTTGAAAATACTCTTATAATATTCAAACAATGACCTGGAGTTGAGAGCTTTTTGAAATTTTTTAAAACAAATCTTGTAATTTTGTTGGCGATTTTGTTGAGAGGTAGGTACATGTATGTCACTGGATCACTGGACTGGGTAAGGAATTGCATCCATCGTATATTCTGCATAAAATTTTGATAATGAAACACAAATTGTAATCCTAAACGCTGTACCCTGTTTGGTGGTCCATTCTTATTGGGTAAAATGTTGGGAAATGAAAAGTCAAGTTTAATTACAATTTTTTTAAAAATATTTGTATTTTTCTGAATTTAAAACATTACAATTGAGAAGAACAGAAACATAAATTAAATAAATGAGAAAAAGATACTTTTCCTCAAGCTTAAGAAGTGGTGATTTGGACAGGAAAATGGCGTTTAACTGTCCTTATGACAAAATACAGATAGGTAGCGTGTTCCATTTTTCGTAAATTACAGCAAATGAGAAGATGGGTACAAACAAGATAGGTCAATAAGAAGAGGAGTTGGTTTTTCAGAAGCTAAGAGCACCTACTCAAGTTAAGAACAGAAAAAAAAAAAGACGAATGTAATATGCAGCTACACCTCCCTCTCAAAAATAAGAATCAACAGTATAAACAAACTCCATTGACTATAAACTTCGAATCGAGTATAAAAAAAAATTGGTAAATGGCCAGTCAGTTGAAAATTAAAATATCCTGCTATTATTTCCTCTAATCTCATACAAGCAAATTAAAACTATAAAAATGTTTCTAAAAAATAGGACTCGCTTTTAAACCAGCCTTGAACATAAAAATTCAGTTATTTCTTAAGAATTTTTCTCGCCCTCCCCCCCAGTGTTACGGCAAGTCTCTCTTTCTTGACTGTGTTAGAGGAGCTCTCTTGGAAACTACAAGTAACCATGGGCAAATCTGAGCTCGACTGCGCTTACAACTTAGATCCTAGTTTTTTCTGACAAGAATGCACAAAGGTGCAGACTGTCCTCTCTGCAAAGCTTCCGGAATTTGTTAATATTATTTTTTTTTCGATGAATAGTGCATGTTTCACAAACCATGCTTTCAAAGAAAGTTTGATGGATCTGAAATTACAAACATATAGATTATAGAGTTCACCAAGTAATCGAACTTGGTAAATGCCGCATCCGCTGGTAATACAATCTACATTTGTGAATTCCAGTCATAGGGAAATGGTTATTTAGAGAGATTATAGTTTCATTAGCAAGAGAGTTATATTTCCTATTCACATAAGTTAATTGAACGTGACTTACCTCAATTCTGTAAAAAGCACTGCAGCACAGCCATGGCCGATTGGAAGTTTAAAAAGAAAGAGAACTTCTGGAACTATTGGAATTGTAAATAATTTTAGCTGATGCGTTCTTGAACGTTCTTACTTCCACTTAATTTCTGAATGGACAGCTGAGTTTTGTCAAAGAACGTTAGTTTCGAGAAAAATGGTGAAGTCAAGGCTGAGTGCTCATTGGTTGTTTACAAATATTCCCACAGGATTAAGGCCAAATTAGCTTCGACTGAAGTTATGATTAAAATAAAAACTAAGAGAATTCCTAGGAAAAGGGTGAGAGTCTTCATGTCAGAAGTGCATCACTGAGTTACAATTATTTTTGTAGATTCAATTAAGCTATACATGATGACTTTAATTTGCCCTTTGCTACTTTGACTCTCTTACTTCATACATCCCTATGAGTCATACTTCGAGTGGAATGTCTAATGTTCTAATTTAAACTTTTCATCATCTACCGCCTACTTTTTTCCGAGAGAAAACTTAGCCAAAATCCAGACTTTAAGTCAAGAATTTTAATTAAAACTTTAGGTAAATAAGAATTACACAGGCTACCAGTTTGTAAAAAATAAGTTTTAAAACTTAGGTTGGAATTGAATTTTTTTCATGAACGTGAAATACAGTCAGAGCTCCTTGAGTTCATCGACGGATTCTCAATATTTCTCCTTTACTGAAACTAAGAGATGAAGGAGCCTAATAGATTGGTCTGTGATGAATCCCTGTGTTTATCTGAAACACTGAAAAACGAGGACCAATCTCCTTAAATTCTGAACTGTGTCCAATGTTAATTTCATACAAGATTGTCTCTTCTCTAACTTGGGCTTAAATCCCCCCTTTTTTTTACAATAAACATTTAGGGCAATTCATTCTGCAGGGTTTCTCATATGACATTCTGCCTTATGGAAGAACGCTGTCACATATGCTGGATTAGCTTTTACAATGAAGCCTTGAATGCATATTCCTCACAACACTACTTCATGGTCAAACTGATAAGCTCCAATAGGATGGTAAGTTTAGAATAGTCTCATGCAGTTTAATATGAATTGACGAGGTCAGACAAAATAATCTGTTTAAGTACAATTTTTTCCAATGAAGGGTCATACTTAATGAGGGTTTCAATTCCTTTTCTTTCCTACTGAGATGGTCAATCATCACTAATTAAGTAAGTTAAAAACCATTCTTTAACACTCATGCATGTAATTTCAGGACAAACGACTAATTTTTTTAAATAATAAAAAAAAATAGGTAAGTTGATCAAATTTTAATCAACATAAAATTTTATGCAATACTAGGAATGAAGGGGACAACAAGTCCTACGTTAAAAGGTAAGATAAGGTAAAAAAGCTCTGTTCAAAAAATGTCCATGTGGGACTGGAAATTTCAAAAAATCAAAAATAACTCAACAGGGTTTTTACCAACTGGTATAGCCCTTGTTCAAGGCTAGAAAAAAAGTGAAAACGTGACTATATCAGTGAGAATTTCAAGAGAAGCAACAGCACTTAAACAATGGATCAAAAATTGACTACGGACAAAAACTCCACTGATACTGAGCGGAGACACAGTGTCATTATTGCCTAGAGTTGACACGTCACATAATAGAAATTCTAGATAGAATAAGACACTACGATGGAAAATAAAAACTTTAAAATATCCTTTAATGAATCAACATATTTACCAAAAAAAGATCAAATAAAACTATCATACTTGGCAAGAGCTAGACTGAAAATTATTCAGCAAGGAGAAGGGCTACACATCCAGCACCTAGTCTTGCTACTGAGGTTGAGAAATAGTTTATGGAGCAGAAATATGTCTAAGGAACTTGGAATTTTCATCTATCCTGAGAGGAAATTCTATCACTAATCTTGATTCATAATTTTCAATTCAGAACAGAAGTCACTTTTTGCGATATCAGATAGAAATTCATAATGTGTCAATTAGAGAAAAATGTTCAATGAATTAATTTGAAATATTCGGTATAATTTTTCCTACAAAATTGCAGAGATAAGTTCATTAAACAATGATGAAAAGTGAGGCCCAAGATGAAGTTTTAATGACATGTCCATTTCAGTTGGAATTCAGAATTATAATGGCAGCAGAATTTGTAGAGAAAAAATATACGGCTGAATTTATGGAAGTCTTTCACGCCAATGAATGGTGGTAGAATTAAGGACAGATACACTGATAGAATTTTAAGTCAAATTTTCTGAGTAAACTCACTGTTCTTAAACCCTTTTCTCCACGAGAGTATGTTATCATTTTGACGGTCAAGTTTTTTCATGGCTAACTTTTCATGTTTAAGTTCCTGCATTTCCTACTCTTCAAGTTGAAGTTTGCTGACACGTCATTTCCTGACAGAAAGGAGCATGCAGTTCAATAGTGGTTCTAACAATCTCAAATAGACAAGTTTCCTTTGGCTTTTAAAAATCATTTAGAGGCGACTTGAGAACATGCTTATTTCGGTTCTCTAATTTAAAACTGAGAAAAAGAAGCACATGTAAAAAGGCATATCCTTCCTGCAGCTTCATTGTTAAAGTTACTCGACAAGACATTGAAAACAAATATATTACACAGCACATATTAGGCAATGTCTTATAAGGCCAACAAAGTCAAAAATAGTTTGAAAAGTTAGGCTGCTGGACTTAACTGCCTTATTACATGATGACTGACTGAAAAAAGGTTACGGTGAAGCAATGAAAGTCATTACAGCTGAACTTAATCATAGAACATTCATTTTGATGTAGTTTGCATACTGACAGCGATTTTAAGCTGTAACTTAAAATCCGAAGGTTGGAAATGGTAAATTTTAGGTATGATTCTTTCTAATTTTATTCTCTGATACTGTCAAGTCAGTACCTTGGATTTCAACACATTTTCACTCGTAATAATAAAGATGATACGGACACTTCAAACTTTTTTCTCAGTAGTCATTACATGTTTACGTATAGATACTGACTATATGGTAAGTCTGTGAAGAATGTGCGAATTTTGTTTTTGTTTTTTAGTAAATATATACAAGGTAATTTCAAGAGAAGGGATGATACCAAGATAACAGAACTTCATTACTATTTTTTAATGGACTATATTTTGCACCAGTGAGGAGCTACTATTTACGACTGGTTGCAGAAATAGTGTATGTGCTATTGGTTTCCCTATATGTACAGACAGGTGTTTGCATGGATGAGCCAGAAATAGTGGTTCCTTAGTGCAAAATGAAATCCAAACATGGAGGTGAAGACAGGAAAAGTTACTTTCATTGAGTTGTTTGATAATATTGAATTGTATGAACTCTTGAATTTTTTTTAAATTCAAGGCAATTCATTGCTAGGGAGAGTAATTTCGGTAAATATAAAAAGTGATTCAGAGAGGTTTATTTTTTTTTTTTTTTAGAATTGACTAAGCTGGCAATGGGTCATTAAAACAAGAGCAATTTTTCTTGGATGAAAAATGCTTTTGATCAATTAATTTTAATGACAAAATTAATGACACATGAGAAAATAAAATATGTTTCCATAGATTAACCAGAGAACCTTAGCATTTTTTCAGATTGAAGAGAACTATTGGAAAAGATTGAGTTTTTTTAAATTTTCATGGCAGGAATTCAGTTTATTTTCAAACAGAGAAAAGTTATCCTAAAAATTTCTAACTTAAGCCTTGGTGTAAGGTTAACAAATCCCCAAGATATATCTTAGAACAAAAAACAAGAAAAGAACATTGCGCTTTTGAGGTGATTTAACGAAAGGGCAATATTTTTTTGAAGATTCTGAAGAAAAAAAAGAAAAAAAAATTAGGTTCAACTACAAGCATTTTGTCAAACGCCAATAATTTATTGACGGGAAAAAATAAAAAAATAATAATAGAGTAATAATAAATAAAAATAAGAATGATAATAGCAATAATTAAAAAAGCCTAATGTACATTTATTTCCAACGATATAATCAATTCCTAACGAACTCTTGATTTGACCTGACTGAATATTTGGTGCAAAAGCACCTCATCACTGTTTTCAACTGAAATTCAGAGACTGGTCAGTATTTACAAAGTCAACGCTTAAAAGAAATACATGAACAGAGAAATTAAGCAAAAATGTACACGTATGCACACACGGATGTATTTGCGCTTAAAGCTGCCCTATATTTGGCTACCCATGTGCCCTTACACAGTTACAGAGGATAGATAACAGAAAAATTGGTCCTTCAAACCAAATATTTGGTCTACTCCCATATAAAAGTCAAATTTTCTGTGTGACTTAAGTTCCTGTAGGAGAAGAGAGTCCTTCCATTGGAAAGAGTCAACTTCACAATTAATGAATCAAATTACAGGAACCAGGCAAAATTACACGAATTACAATTGAATGATCTCAACTTCAATTGACAGTTGAAATGAATCCTTGTTTCTGATAAATAAATTTATCACTCTCAGAAGTTGAAACAGTGTGTATCAGAAAGATTAAGGAAGCTTTTTTTCCATAATCAACCTTTTGGCGAACAATTTACACAATCTATGTATAATATGTGGTCCTAAGTATAAGAAAAAATAATATTAAAGCTGATTTAATCATTTGCGAACTTCCTTGGAATTCAGATTTGATTGAAGTTCTAACATGCATTTTCTTTTAGATCACACTGACAGCGAATTGATTCAAAATGCTGTCACAATACTTGTAACTCTGGCTCATTGTGTGAAGCCAACCTAGCAGAAATGCCTCTCCACTCAAGAGAGCTTAAAAAGGCACCAGCATCTCCATTTTAGAGAGAGATAACATGTAAAAACGCAAACACATCATGCGAGTACGGAAACACACACGATAATAGAAAACTCACTAAGACGAGATCGTAAAATCCAAGTACTTAATGTGATCTAGACTGCAGGATCAGTAATCAACTGATTTTTTAATTTCAAAAATTAAAAATTGCAATACAGAGGATGATTGAGTAAAACACCTCCAGAGGTGATAAAATTATGATTATTCAATAGATATCATCATCTTTTTAGTAGACATTAAAAGGAGTTTCTATGGATACATAATACCTGTTAAGACCTACACAAAATTTAAAATCATACAATCTATTTTTTATTTATGTATTTATACATAAATATATAAATATTTATATATGTATATGTTCAAGGATTTTTAGATTTTTTTTTTTATTAAAAAAGAATAAATAAAGAGAAGAGAAAAATAAAAGAGGAGGATCTTCGAATTCAATTATGAGGTAAAGTATCATGCACCTCTGAAGATTTCAACAGGAAGTCACAGCTTCAGGATAAGAGAGACTCTGCAGCTTGGCACCTGAAAACATACCAAAGATTCTTAACATGGAGGAAAGGATTACATAGAAATGTACTACTACTCATTGAGCAGGGTGTCTATAGTTTTTTTTCATTTTGAGAAATCCTGATTTTTCCTGATTTTTGACGGCTAAATCCTGATTTCATATTTTTTCCAAATCCTGATCAAATTCTAACTTTTTGCAGACAAAAATTAACAGACGGATAGCGGATAATTAACAGAAAATAAGCGGACGGCCGACTTTTCTGCTTTTTCGGTTGATTTTACGACCGATTTTTCTTCAAATCCTGATGCAATTGGGATTAAATCCTGGTAGAATTGGGAAAATCAGGAAAATCCTGATGCTAGACAACCTGCTCATCTTTTATGATATGCCAATCAGAGTTGTTAGCCAAATTAGTGTTACCGCTCCCTAATTTATCCCTGACTCCTGAATAATTTTCCCTGTCTATCATGTACAAGACTGACACAGATGGTTGAACTGAAAATAATGACCATTTTAGACTACTTCAATTTGCAGTGGTTAGTTGACTATAGTCTGTTTCACGTAAGCTGATACTTTTTATTCGGCATTAAAATCCGTAAATGGCAACGCATCAGTCCCGAACGCGGTGACCTGACCGCTCGCCGGCCACCGTCTTTTGTTCAGCGACGAGAGGCCGGCAACCCGTCCATTGTGAGGGTAGGAACAATGGGCACCCTTCATCCCTCCTTAATGAGCCCTAGTACCCGGACCCAATTTTCTTTCTCGTTGAAAAATTAAACTTTTAGCGTGAAAATTCAGGTCCAGCGGGAAATTTTGATGAAAATGAACTAAAATTTCATCCGATTATCTTAATTTTTACCCGATATACGGCACTTGGGCTCATTAAGGAGAGATGAAGGGTTCCCAAATCGCGGTCAACCACAAATGCTGTATATCGGGTAAAAATTAAGATAATCGGATGAAATTTTAGTTCATTTTCATCAAAATTTCCCGCTGGACCTGAATTTTCACGCTAAAAGTTTAATTTTTCAACGAGGAAGAAAATTGGGACCGGGTACTAGGGCTCATTAAGGAGGGATGACGGGTGCCCATTGTTCCTACCCTCACAATGGACGGGTTGCCGGCCTCTCGTCGCTGAACAAAAGAGGGTGGCCGGCGAGCGGTCAGGTCACCGCGTTCGGGACTGATGCGTTGCCATTTACGGATTTTAATGCCGAATAAAAAGTATCAGCTTACGTGAAACAAACTATAGCACATTTGCAGCGTACAGGCAAGAGAGAACCGATTGTAATGGCTAGAGTTATATGTTTCCAAAACTATTATTGATGATAAGGATTGTAACTTGAGGTTTTGAGGAGAGGTTTTACAAGGACAACAAGCAGCGCAATATATAAATAAATGAAATCATGAGCACTAATGGCCATTCTTAGCTGTTGAGGTTTTTCTGGTAAATTCTATAAAAAATCTTAAAAAAATAGGCATTGTTGCAACAAACGGGCTTGTTAAGGTTATAAACTTTTGAGTGATAAAAAAACATAAAGAAGCACACACTTGTGCGCGCTGGTCAGACGATCGGAAAGCAAACCAGCAGTTTCTAGGGACGCTGAGTGAGAGCGCCACCGTTCTTGGTGATCAGAACCAATAGTTAGCCAGTCCTACAACCCAAGCCCAGAACTGCTAGGTATAACGTAGATGTGAAAATGCCACAGATCCATTATATCGCAAACAATCAGAAAAATTCTGGGTAGACATCAGAATTTTCTAACTTTTGTCAGTTTGTCGTTGTCTTTATTAAGTTGTGCACGACAGAGTCTCACCTGGCGGATATTTAAATCTTGGCGGGCCTGACCCCTCCAGTGTGTTGACTAGTTTTGAGCAGTGGCCACTGGAGGTGCAGGCTGAGTTTGAGTCAGTTCAAGAAGGATTAGCTTGGGCTGTAGCAATACGCCTGTAGTGTGTCATTTTTACCAGAAACGTAAGGGTGATTTTTGGAAGGTAAGTCGAACAGGACTTACCATTGAGTTCAGTAGGTTAGGGCGGTTGTGTGAGCAATTTCTGTCACTCACCCCAAAGTAAATTTTGGTGCAGTTCTCTTATTTCCATCTTAATATGGAATATTTATTTTTCTTGTGACAAAGAAAATGAGTTTTATCCTGACATTCATAATATATTTTATTTTGGAAAAAACAAGGAGAGGTGAATTTACCTTGAGAATGTTTAAGCCATGTCATTGGACTGTAATGGACTGGCAGAGTGCGACGAAGATGTGCTGTCTGGCTGGGCAGTCGTTGCTTCTGTCCCTGAGGTTGTTGGTGCAATTTCTGCTCCTACTTCGTTGGTGCCACCAGCAGAGTTCTCAGCGATATGACGAGGGATTAGGACAGAAGTCAGATTCGGTTGGATTTTCAACTCTATAAAAGAAGACATTATTTTGAAAATTAGTGCTAAAATACTTTGATTTAAAAAAATTAGACAGAGATCGAAACAATGAAGTTTGAGAAAGTATTTAAACCTTGTAAAGAGTCTACACTGGATTTTCACTTTTAAAAACAAATGTTACAAGGTTTCTTGCACTGATATCCTGATGTGTAAGCAGGAGGATTTTTCTCTGTGATGTTGTATAGCACACTACACACTGAAGTTGTAATTTTTCCATCAAACTCCGTTCTTCCTCTTAATAATAATCTTGTTGGAAGCAATGAGGCTTCTTCGTTTTATTTTGAATTTTATTTTGTTTGTACATTTAACAAATTTCTAACTTAGCACATGCTTCGCAAAAATTTTAACAACATTTTTGGAAATGTGTTATGGATTATCAAAAAAATATTCCCCTCATTGAAGATTTGATGACTTCTTTTCCAGTTAAAATTTAAAATAAATTCTGAGAGTTGCAAGAGAAAAAGAGAGAAATACATACAAAAGATTTTCCTGCATTTCCAAAGCTGCAAGATTTGGACCAATAATAAAAGAAGGATTATTGAAATTTCAGAATTTCAACTCACCAAAATCTGAAAAGTTAAAAAGTGGGGGTAGGTCTCGGCCATTGGGTAATCGTGTATTTGGTTCTCGTAACTCGTTAAAAAATGCATGAGCGCAGGCTTGTAGCGGAGAGATACGCACATGAGGAGTATATTCTAACAACCGTGAGACTAAATCAATTGCTTCTGGGGGCGTGCGTACTCTGAAAACCTGCAGACAACAAGAAAACAAATGATTGAATAGACACAAAACCAAATCGTTGAGTTCTGGTAGAGACTGATTATGGATGCGAACAAATGTTCATATGTTGATTCTTAACCTTACTTTTAATAGATATGAAAAGGTTTAAATCCTGTCTGGTATGGAAATCGTAGTTTGAAAGGTGACATGCTTTCATATCTTTAACGCCTGACTGGCTATCAGGGCCTGCTAGAAGAAAGGACTGGCGAACAGCAATGAAATGCTAAAGTGACAAGTTTCTTCATCTCTTAATGGTGCTTAAGGTGCTATAACAACTGTACAACTCCAACCCAATCCCGGAAAGAAAAAAATTTATCAAATGATCACCAGAATCCTTGAATTATGATCAAAAAGAATGATTTGTTGATGATTGTTGTGAAGATTTACTGCAGGTTGCTTCCACATAATATGACAGCAATGTGAGAAGACACAGCATTTTCACCAGGCGAATATTAAATAATTCTGTTTACAAAAAAAATTTAGCGATTTTTGACAACTCTTGTTTTCTATTTACAGAATTGACAATTTTGGTTTCTACAATTTAGAATATGTGTGAATATGCCAAGATAGATAAGAAGGTCTCGAGCTCTAAAAAAGAGGGTATGATGCTTGTTTCCTCATTGAAAGTCACAAAATTGAGTTTCCTATTTGCAGATGTGATAAGTCTTTGTTCCCTGTATTGCAGTTCATTTTTCAAAATAATCGCTTTATCTCCTCTCTTAATTTTAATTACACAGAAAGGTAATGAGATTTGCTGTTAACTTGATAGGTGAGCCTGTTGAATAATTACATCATATGTAAGTGTGCAACAAGTTGGTGGTCAATCTTACCGTCCGTTCTTGCTGAATGTGAAAAAAGACAAGTTTTTCCTCCTATTCTCATGTTCTATAAAGCAATCCTCTAATAAAGAATCCAATTTAAATGCAGTACACCTATACATTTGTCTCTAAAAATATTTTTAAAGATTCTTCATGACTTGCTACCGAAAAAGGTATGCTTGTGAGTAGAATAAAGTACTAAATATAAGTCTGATTCAAGTGCTAAGATTGAGCAGCGGATATAGTTAATTGGTAAATGCTTTACATTTTTATTGAAACTTTTGCTTTGCCTTGGACTTAGCTGTCTTTTATGATTCTAATTAAATTTCATTTTCTTTTGGAAACTTGAAGTAGAATTTTGAAGTACTTCACGAAGGTTTCAGAAAAACTAAGAACAAAACAATGCCTAAAAAATTTAAAGAAATAAATTGACGAAGTATATTTAATTTGAACTAAAACATAGGATGGAGAAAAAATTTCCCGCATAATAATTACTCCTGAATTATACACGTTAATTTTGACAATTTTCAACAGATGAAATTGTGCTGCGATACAACATTAGAATAAAGTTGTTTTAGCAACGAGAAAAGAATGGTCAATCACAACTTGCATTCCAAGTCGAACATGCAATCAAAAATATACATTTCGACAATTCCATTCAAGCTGTTCCGAATGCCACACTGCCGGACTGTGGCAAGAATTCTCCGACTTTACATTGAAGTTCACAAGAAAACAGATACATACACATTTGCCACATTGTATTCAGAAAAAACCACACAATTTCACTGAGAAGTATGAGAGGAAATTGATTATTTTTTCTGACACAACCCGTGCTGCTGTCAAACACGACATGCTATATTTTATTTATTATAGGATTGCATCGCCAATTTGCTCACCTACTATCAAGGATCACTATGGAAGTCGAATGAGCATGTATATGTTGCCCACTCGAAACTTTCTGAATGTTTAAAAAGTGTGGCCCGAGTTGAAAATGAGAGAATGTTCTGACAAATAAAATAAAAGATTAAGAGACGTTGGAACTAAATTAGTTAGCTAGCTTCTTAAAAGTGGCAAGAGATGTGCCATCTTGATTCCTGGACTTAGTTTGGATGCAAAGATGAAAATTGCGCACTCCTTGTAGCATTGCTAAGTTGGTCTCTTAACTAATTTCACTCCAACCCTCTAATCTATTCATTTTTAAAGCCATTACAATAATTTTTGTGTATGTCTTCGGCAACTTTACAGCTATCACAAGTATTAGGTTGCATTCTATTTTGTCTGGAGCTTCTGATTGAGTTTGTCCAATTCTTCTGAAGAACATCTAATATATACATAAAGATTAATATTAACACCTTCCAAAACAGCATTCATCACCAACTCATCAACAATCAGCAATAATTTAGAGGCTAGCAAAAAAACCTCTGAAAAATGGTGCCTTTTTTTCACCCTTGAATTAATTGTGCGTCCTTCAGTTCTGATTTTAAAATATTGATAGGTATAGTCCAGAGCAATATTCACGAGTGATATTCAAGGATTTTAGACAATTTTTGTCAGGAAGTGTATGAACTTTTAAGTCATTGAAGATTCCGTCTTAGGAGAATCATACAAGCAAAATTTCTGTGAACGAAGTCCTCGTCAAAACTTACAACATTTAGTAAAAAGGGACTAGGATGAATATCGAACGGAACAAACAAAGAGCTAGGACTCGATGGTGAAGTAAAAAATAGATTTGTAAAATGGTTGACAAACGTTTTTCACTCCAGAAAACGCACTGATCAGTTTGTACTCATCAATCTAGCACAGTAAATATCAATGCTGCAACTGGAAAAACACATGTTTTGCTTAGAGATGTTGTAGATTTTTTCTCATGTGTATTTTATTTTTTTCAATGATTCAATGATAACCTAGCATCACTGTTAAAGCAATTCTTGAGTAATTTTTCAAGAATATTCTCTGAAAATTTTATATAGAGTTATCAAGTGAAAGTCTCTGTGGAAAAAAAAGGTGCATTACGAGCAGAACTTTTATTTAACACCACAATCAAGATATATGATTTCTAACATCTTTAGATTCATAAATTTAAACATGATAAAGAAAAAAAGAGTGGAGGGAGAAAAAACAAGACTAAGAGATCAATGAGACGTGATGCAAGTGAACATTAACAAACAACACTAAAAGATGTACACGGCACAAATGAATAGGCTTGTGCGAAAGAACAATTGATGCCCATTGCATTTTTCCACCATTACAATTGTTCATTTTCCATTGAGCAGGGTTGAGTTGGCAAGATCATAAGTTGATAAAATATGACAAAAAGTTAGATGCAGCCAAAGTCTTATAAGGATCTTACAAAATTTCGTTTGCAAAGCTATATACAAACGTAAAGCTTTGTAGGTAATTACATTCCCTACAAGATGCCCACAAGACTTAGTCCATCTTAAACATTCTGTCTTCTTACGTCAGCTCATTTTTGACTTAGGGAGCTGATACTGCAAGTCTGTTTTCTTAATGACCTTCCAATAACACTCCTCGGATTAGACAGTAAATAATTCATTGATTTTTGCACTTCAGACTACTGGTTAAAAACAGAGCCACCTAAATGCGATCTTGGCATCTAGAAGCACAAAAACGGGTGCAAGAAAAAACTTCACTACAGAGTATGCCTTCTTGCAATTTTAGTGTTTGGTCGTCAGTTCGTTGGTTGTAATGACAATACCCAAAAGGCCAGAGGTTCTCGATAAAAGGACACAAAGTAGTTGAAGCTTATTAGCTGAATGATGATATCAAATTCTAAAGCTTATTGAAAACTCACCAGGGATTCTCCACTTATTCAGCTCTTTTTCTAGATCGTCTTTTATTTTATTGAGTTTATTTGTAATACTAGAGATATCTCAACCTGCAGAATTTGAGAATGAAGACGATTCATCCTCCCAAAATAAGTCTTGTAAAACTAAAACTTTTTAACAATTACCTCAAAGATCATTGGGCTAGTAGATTGAGTTTTCCATCGAAATACATGTTGACAGATGGATGTTCCCAGAATACATGCACATCAAACATTGAGATAACTTTACTTATTTGACTGACAAATGCTCAAAATTAAGGTACAAATATCATTATTGAGGGAGAGTCGGTTGTAACTTTGAGGGACCATTGCAGAATTTAAAGTTGAGTGCTCTTACACAAGTACAAAAATGATTTTTTAAAACAAATCAATAAGCAAAAATGCATAATATGAAAGAATGAGGCCTCTAGATTCTGCAAGGGTTAAACTAACTACTCATTTTCAAAATACTTCTAACTATGCCTCACTCAAAGAAATTTTTTTCATACTGATGATCCCTGCTGACATCTATTCACTGTCTCAACAGTTGAGCATTTCTACACAGATTAGTATGAAAGACCGAATCAAAAAACCGAAAGACATGGTAAAGAAATGAGGTGCATAGTACGAAAAATGAGAAAGGAGGAAGGAAAAAGAAAGAAATGATGAAAAAACAGAAAAGAAAAATCTGAACTAAAAGCTTGCAAGCACGTCGCATTTGATCACTTACTCTTATTTTTTGTTGGTTCGATTTTTTAGACAGACCTATCTGCTGGAGCATAAACTGAAAGGCGACCAATGAAATAATTTCATTTTAAAACGATGACAATTCATTATTAAAATAAACAATAAAAAAAGGAAAGAAACACAAAAACAGAAGGTATCTTCAAAATCGGATTGAAAAATGATCAGAAACAAAAATTTTGAATTTGTAAGTCCATTTGAGGTTCATAATTAAGAGAAGACTTGATAAATAATGAGGAATCTATATGACAGTGCTCCATACAAAATGTTTTCAATAAGTTTCCAAACTAGAGCCGCCCTAGCTTTTAAAGATGCTTAGTCAAATAATTTTGTTTTAATTGAAAAGCTTTAACTTTCAAGAGTACACTGATTTTCGGGGTCATGAAATATGTATGGTCAATTTTATTACCGCATCATTTTTTCAGGAAAAGGTCCCTGAAAAGGATTTCCTGGTCTGCAATTTTTTTTCAGACAAGAAAAAAATCGAAATTTCAAATGAAAAGGACAGCAAAATCACTGACATAAACATCACATCTTTTTAAAAACTGTGGTGTAGTGTACCATAGATTTTTAACTTCTAATATCACTGCAAATGTTGATTTTAATTGTGATGTTACATAATTCTGTGCACAAATGTTGGGCAGAAGTAGACCTGCCTGGTGACAAGGTAGCAATTAAAGCTCCAGCTGAAAAAGGACTTTTTGCCAAAAAAAAGGCATTTAGAGAAAAGGCAACAAAAGTTATGTTTGTGGTAAGTTGCAAAGCCTTTGCAGCAAAGGAATTTAAGTTTGATGATTTTTTGGAGATGAACTCATTACTTCCGAGGCTGTCCGGTTAGTTTTTAGATAATGATTTTGTTTTTTCACAAAAATCTATGAGATTTACGAAAAAGCAGGAGAATGAATGGTCTTTGCATTAAAGTGTGCGAGGATTAAAAGCATCTTGGAATTTTTCTGGTTAGAGATGGATGTGAAATGGACAAAAATATACAAAATTACGCCCAGAAGGGGATCCTTTCATGTTTGGACATTAATTGAAGCCACCTATTATTTGGAAGAATTTTTCAAGTAAAAATCACTGAGCAGAGCAAACACGTTACAAAAAAAATAAGGGACAATGTAACAATACCCTAAAGATTATTGATTTTCAGTGGGCCTAAGGTGAGCTTGATTGGGCCTTTTTTAGGGTCAGGACAGCGCTAGTCAAAGACATTTTCGAACACATCTTGCATCATGTAACATTTATTATGAGCAGAATTTATTTTTCAATTATTAAAATTTGGGAAGAGCTGGACCAGTGGAAGACTTCAACTTTACACTCCTTGGCTTTAGATCAGAAAAAAATCATTTAAGGCGGAAAGTATAGCATAATGATGAAACTTGAATTTAAAGAAAAAATGCAACAGCAAGCTTAAATGCACAAAATGCTTCAAATGCAATGTTAGACTCTACTAGAATATTGGAAAAATCATTCTCTAAGGAATTATTTCAAAGTTTTAGAGAGGAATACTGTCACAGAATGCGGACAGAAGATGTTCTTTCCTGTTTATTCGATGAAGCTGAGCAAGCTGAGAGTTTTGACGGACCTTGATGATACATATCATAAATTAGAAGGTCAAAATGCTTACATTGGCAGTTTGTTTCATATTGTTACCCAAAGGATCCAGAGAAAAGTATAATCCGGTTTCTCAGTAAAAATGTTTTTCATGAATAGAATACTTGTCATTTGAAGTTTAATGTAAAGTAAAATAATAATAATAAAAATTTTAAAAAATGTATTATGAAGCGTGTACACCTAGTTTTGAAACAGCTAGAAGAAAATTGACCATAGATCAACAATACTGATAGAAAGATAATATATGAAATTTTAAACGTTAAATTCTATCTAAAATTGAAATTCTCATGTTGGTATGAAAAAGTTTATTCCAGCAAAATTTCTCCTTTCCTAGAAAAATTAAATTTTTCCTTGATGACGTAGTGTTACAATCACAAAATAGCTGCCCAAGTGGACTTTGCTTCCACCTTGCATTAACACCCGTACACAGTGTTGCTGGTAGTATTACTTTTAGGATGACTTAGTCAGCTAGTGCATAGTGCTAATGCACAAACAATTTAGGACTACTGTCCTAACTTTTTCAATGCTTCCAGACTTATTTTGAAATTTCCTCATTGTTGCAGGACTTTCCTGAATTCTCCGACTTGAAAAAACCCTGAACACGTAGTCAACTTAGTCTAAGTTGACCCTTAAACACACCATCTCTTTGTCCTGATGATTCCAGACTCAAACCTCCATTGTTTGTGGTACATCTTACCATGCTATTATGATACTAACATTATCCATATAAACATTGAGCTGTAATATAACAATAGACTAAAGCTTTTAGTTACTGATTTGACGAAACTAACTTTACCTGCTCATTTCTCTTGTAATGATAAGCATACTGGTTCGTAAAATTTACAATTAACATGGATACTAGTATGGCTGATTTTTGACCTAGTCTTCTTGTGGCTCACAATCAGCTAAAATGACAGCTGCTTGGAAGGACACTACACAATTGTGAGTTTGAATTTTCTTGCGTGAGGTTGGTTTTTGGAGGCTTTAATGGTTTAGTGAACATTTTACAGTCCTACTTCTGATTAAAGGGAGCTTCAGCAAGATACGACAAATTTTCAAGAAATTCACTCCAGATTACAAGTATATTTTCTCGTAATTCAGAGTGGACTAGGCATCTATAACACAGCTTCTTGTGGCTACAGACCATATTCTAATTGGTCAAGGGCTTATCCACTTTCAAAAGGCGCGTGAATACCAGCTCTAAGTTTTAGGGTTCTAGCTCAATTGCAGCACAATTCTTAGCCCAGCAGCGGAAAGATTGCAGTAACTTGTGATCATCTAAAAATTTTACTTTCAGCAGGAAAAAAATACTTAAAGAAAACTATTGGTATTTAGGGCAAGGTGTAAGAAACTATACATCTGAGAGGAGCAATATTCTCAGATTCTGGTTTTTGGTTCAATTCAACAAGGCTTGTGACACTAATAACACACATAGGGACAATCCATACATAACATCACACTGAATTTCAGAATTTTAAGCTCCCTCTTCCTTGCCTTGCAGGTCTGCGACTCTTTCTAAAATATTAATTCACGTTTCCCTAGACTCTTTGTACGTAAAAATTGGCATCTTAAATCATCATTTGTGCAAAAACTATCAACAATTCTTGGAGAAAAATTGAGGCCATGTACCAATTTTTGGCGCACTGTCTAACAGCCTTAGACCCTTCCCCTTTAGAGCATTTCATAATTTGTGTGCGGCTCCTTAAACATTACCTGTGTTTCAAAACTAAATCAACAGACAATAAATTGATCATTAGAATACAAATGCCAGAGAGGACACTTGCAATTCTGATCTTCACCTAGCCACAAGATGATCTTTAGCAGAACTTACCTTTTGCCAAGGATGTGATTTGATCTGCGGAAATTTAAATTCAGTATAATTTGGGTTCATCATATGTATTTCTTCTTTTGACGGTGTGCCAAGAACTTTGATGATTTCGACTAACTGGTCAACACCAGAATCACCAGGGAATATTGGCTGGCCAAGTAGTAACTCTGCTAGGACACAACCTGCACTCCAGACATCTATAAGAAAAAAGAAAAGAAGATTAAATTAGTTTCAAAAGAAATTCAAGTAGTGTCACTGGAGTCACTTTGTTTCTTCAAAGATCAAGGATGACAAGTATCCTTACATATTAAAATTTCCTGACTTTTCAAGGTTAATAAAAAAAAATATCTTGAATTTTCCATGATATTTGGCATATGAAATGCTTCCTTTATGGATGTAATATCAAAAAGCTATGAGAATAACGCTTTTAGTTGAGACAATGTCATTCTTAAAGAGGAGATACTTTAAGGTTCGGAACTAAAATTTTCTGAACTTCAAGGCTGGAGCATTTGCATACTTCATAGGGTTTTTCTTCGAGCTTTCAGGATATCTTGAATAGTTGTCACACAGCATAAACTTGACGTTCATAATCTATTCTTTCTTTCTCTCTTCCTTTCTTCCCTTCCTATTCTGATCTCTATAAGAAAGTATTCACAAGGGGAGGCTTAGAAAAGGCAGCTGCCAATTTTGATCAGGTGTGCTGTGAAACATAGATCAAAGGCACTTGACTCGCAGGTGCTTTTCCTTTTTTTCGGATGAGCCTCTAACTATTATGTTGATTTTTCTTTCTCTTCATTTAAAGAGGACGGCAACCTTAAAAACAAGTTTGGCTAAAAAGAAAAATGTGCAATGAACGATGCCAAAATCCGTTTGCAAATAACTGCATTTGTTGACCCACTAACGCGAGAAAACAGCTGACAATGAGTGCGTGACGTCATGAGATCCATCTTGCATTTTGCAGTCTGCACACTGTCTCCGTTGTCAAGTGGCCAACGCATATTCGCAACAAGTTATTAGTTCGCCCAGATCTCGCTCACTCCTGGCCGACTCTTTTTTCTTTGCTTGTCTGTGACAATTGTGGCGATTTCGGGGGTTTGTTTTTTTTTTTTTTTTTTTTTTTTNTTTTTTTTTTTTTTTTTTTTTTTTTTTTTTTTTTTTTTTTTTTTTTTTTTTTTTTTTTTTTTACTACTTCAAATACCACACAAGTGGTAATCCTTGCGCTTCCAGTTAGAGCCCCTCCCCCTCCGTCCCTACCATGTACATGTACTGTGTATTGCCAGCCCCAGGCAATCGTTGTTTGAGACCATCAAACTCGGGTCGCCTAGCCGGGAATCGAACCCGGGACCTCCTGATTGTAGAGCCAGCGCTACAGCCACTACACCACAGGAGGCCGACACAGGGGTGCCAAGAGTAAACGCGCCAGACTTTTTAGTTGTGTGCGTATGAACTGCAGTTGCACCTGGAGTGCATGACATCACCAGTCAACCTTACAATCTTACATTTCTCTGCCGATATTGCGAATTTTTCTTTCGGGACAGAGCCATTTTCCTTCTTATACCTTCCCGCTTCAATTTTTAACACTATCTCATTTTCGATTTTAGGGTTTCTGTCCCCTTTAACTCCTTTAAGTATGAAAACAAAAGAACAAAAAAGCAAATTGAGAAGACACTGATGAATCGGATGTTGCTTACCAATTTTTGTGGTGTAATCAATAGCACCAAAAATGAGTTCTGGTGCACGGTAGTAGCGAGAACAAATATAGGACACATTTGGCTCTCCTTTGATTAGATGTTTTGCTGATCCAAAGTCACACAACTTCAGCACCCCAGTCTCAGGATCCAACAATAAATTTTGAGGTTTAATATCTCGGTGACATATTCCTAACGCATGAATGTACGCTAAACTTCGGAATAACTGATACATATACAACTGAAAATTACAAAATAAAAAACCAAATAAGAAACATGATAGATTAAGAGCATTAAATAAATGAATCAGATAATGATAAAAGTTGACAAGACACAAATAGTTTATAGTAAAAACATGAATCTGCCTACATAATCCAATATCAGGGATAAATTTTCTGATAAGACATGAAGGAAAAATTGTAGGCATGTACAAATCCTCTCAACTTCATATTATCAGAGGATTTTGAAATGTTGTGACTAGCCCTAAAATTGCAAACTGAATAGGTTGGAGAATAAATGAAAGAGCTTTCATCACTCTTCAGCAACCAAAATCCAAAACTACTATGCACTGAATGTTGTTTATAGTGCTTCATCAAATATATAATGTGGTCTAAAAAATGCGGCACTTGATTATAGAACTGAGACATGCTTAAGGTTAAATTCGGTCCATTTTTAAGTAGTAAAAAAGCATGTTGATTAATATGAATAGTACAGAGGGAAAAAAGGCGATTTCATGGCTGCGTTTTCACAGCTGTCTACACCCTACAGGCAAAAAAAAATGCAACGAAAGCATACCTTGATAAAACTAATAGGTATAATTTGTTTGGTTTTACTGTAATGTCTGGCCACTTTATATACAGTTTCAGGAATAAACTCCAACACTAAATTCAGGTAAACCTCATCTTTCTGTTGAAGAAAAAACAAAATATCAATGATTAGTACAAAATATCTAAAAGACAGAAAAAGAAAAAACAACATATGAGTCCCTTCATAAAGAAGCTACACATAGATGAGCATCTATGTGTAGCACTATTTTTTGGATCCTTCTCAAGACACTGTTTAAAAGTAACCGAAATAAAAACAGACTAAAAAGAGAGCAGGCGTGTCTATGAAATGACTGTATCTTAGAGACATTTACATTTTTTTGGTAGATTGTTTTTTAGCAGGGGATGACAGTTGACAAGTTAAGGCACTTATCAAAGTGGATATGAAGGGGCAATGGGTCAGTTGTGCTAGTTAGGTCAGATTGGCAAAAATTAATAAGATCTGTCCAAATGCCAAATATACAGTATTAAGGCAGATGCCGCCTATCGCAAAGTATGACTTGTGATATAATTCGCCACAGTAGTGCATACACTTGTTTCTTCCACTTTGGTTTCATTCGTGTTTCATATTGAGCAACAGTTCAAATGTTTTTATCATTGATTGATGAAACCCAAGTAGGGGGTTGTATTCTGATGGAGATGTGGGACTGTTGCTATGGGTTTGTGCACATCGTGCCGCACCCATGGCAAAAGTAGCAATGGAAGCAAAAGATCTCCTCAATCTTCAATGCAACAACTGCAAAACTGCAACATTTCTCCTGGATATAGCGTAAAGAGAAATTTAAAAAAATCACTTTTCAACCTTGTTTTTCTCAGAATTGTCTCATAAAATTAGTTTCGCTCAGGTAGTTGAAAGGAACATCAAATCAAAATTTAGCCAGCACCAAATTTTTTGGTAATCTGTGCGTAGTCCTTCGCCATTCATTTTATGGGTCTGTTTCATGCTAGAGATACAGCTAAAACAATAGACCTTCATGGGTAAGATAGCACAAAAATCGCGATGGGCTCATCAAAATAGTCTGATATCCCCTCTTTCGCTTTCAATTTATGTAACAGGCTCTCATATATTCCCTGCTCTTGCATGCAATTTTCCTTAGCAGCTATTATCAGTTTGCCGAGAAAAAGGCGCTAGAAAGCCTAACCAATATAAACGAACAATATTGCAAACTGTTACAAACTCTCCTCGTCTATAATTTCTATTGAGTTTATTTTTGCAAAACAAGGAAATAGAGGAGAGACAATTTCTATTGAGTTTATTTTTGCAAAACAAGGAAATAGAGGAGAGACAAATGCTTACAAACGATTGAAATCATACGAGAGAAGAAGTTCGAAGAGGTTGGAAAGTTCAAACGAAGTTGTAAGATTGTTCATTTAGGTTAGGTAGTCTTACATCTTTTTCTGTGCAAACAAGGTCATCATCAACTGAGAAAAACTGCCAGCAAATGCAGGAAAGGAGAGAAAGTGATAACAAACCATGCAAATTGGATACTGAAGATTGGATTTAAAATTCTTTTGATGTGCCCATTGTAATTTCGGTGTGATTTTGCCCACAGAAAGTCTTATCACTTGGTTGTATTTCTTGCATGCGCTAGCCCCCTTCCTTGATCACGATAAATATGAAGAAACTTAAATTCACACTGTCAAAGGATTACATGTGCTAGTTTCTCTCATTTCTTGAAACATGCAAATTCAATTTAAAGATGAAGAAATGTGTTAGTTTATACATAAATTAAACAGGATTACATACCTTATCACCGCTGGAGTAGAAAAAGTATTTTAATTTAACTATATTACAATGTTCTAGACGTCTCATTATTTGTAGCTCCCGATTCTGTTGAGGAAAATAAAACGAAATAAATAAATCAGACTGACAGAGATAAAATCAATAAGTACAGAGGTAAAATCACAAGATCAATTAATAACGTAGAGGGAATTCAGCAAATACGTAATGTAATTTAAAATTATTTGAAACTTGGTTAAGATGTGTTGGCATGGATCAGGGGATAGCTTGCCCTCAAAAATAAGGGTGTCAGAAGACGAGTTTACTTCCATTTTATTTTCTTAAATAAAATTAAATGATTGTCCCACTATGTTATGCACACAAGTCGGTTGCCAATCATATTTCTTGGTGGTCTCATAAAAAAAACTCTTTTTTAAAAGGTATCTCTATATTCGAGGGTGACTTGATTTTTCTTAAAAAAAAAAAAATACTTGATAATTAGATGAAGTTTTTCAAAAATGATCTCAGCCTGCCCTGTAAACGATTGGAGTAGAGGAAATAAGTCTAATGAAATTTGTTGGCCTAGGAACATTTCTAGGCTTGCTTCAGATTAATTATTTTCCTCTTCTCACTCACATGGAGGACTTAAAAATTAATTTCAACTAGTCGAATGAACATTTTTGTTGACATGAATTCCAGTTTTCCTTTGAAAATAAGACAGGAACTACTGTTTTTCATCATAAATTTGGATTTTCAACACAATAATTTTTGGTAACATTCCAATTTCAAATGAACGAAGGAATTTTTTAATTGTTATTTTCTCTTCCCTATATTGAAGATAATTTTATTATTTTCTCACACACAATACTTACTTTAAAACGTTTGTCTTGGAGTACTTTTTTAATAGCAATCATCTCATTAGTTTCACAGAGCTTCGCCGAATATACGACTCCGAAACTTCCATTTCCGATTACCCTAATTACAGTATAAGAAACTTCTAACGGTCTATCCGGTCCTTGACCTGGTGTTGCAACAACTGTCGACATTTTGCTCCCATCTTTACCTGCACAAAAAGGAGAGCAAAGTTTATTTAGTAACAATGTAAAATTGATTGAAAGAAAGCAACACAGTAAAAACAAGTTCAACATTTTCATTATCAACGCAACATCCGGGTTGGAAAAATAATCCCCTCATAAAATATAAAATGACTATGACTAAGTAAGACTTGTGGCACAAAAGAGGAAATTTACATGAATAGCTATGACTTTCCCTCTTGCTGAGGAAATTTTTGAATACTCACATGCTTTTTTGCTCCCTCACAAACTCCTTCATTTGTTATCATCATATCACTTAAAAATTATGAAATTTAAAAACATCAGAAACGGAAATAAAGAAGAGGATATTAGAAAGACTGAAAATAAAAGAGAGAAGACTGATCGAGGTAAATTATAACAAACGAGATCTGAATGGATGCCAGCAAAACTTAATAATCCACCAAATCCACCCTTGCTATAACCTCACTTCAAAGTGCACAGTGAGGACAGTTTAAATCCCATTAGAATAAGATGCAAAATTAAGATTTGCGAATTTCACGGAATTCAGTTGAGTAAAATTTCCCTCTACTAAAAATGAAAATGAAAAATTGTATATATTTCAGCTGCTCTTTCTGATCATGACAGAAAACTTAGCAAGTAGTGTTAGGATTAAATTAACCTAATTTTGGAGATGCTTGATAGCAATACCTTCAGTGATAGTTAGAGAATCCGATAAAGATTTATGCAGGATATCAGAGGACATTTCACTCAAAGATTTCATACTTCACACCGTGTAAAAGCATGGAAGGACACCACAAAACAGAAAGGGCATTGGTGAATCCACCGTTTAAATTGAGGCTTGATGAAAAATGGACTTTAACAAAGCAGGACACAATTTGATGTTGATTTTAAAAAAAAATCCGATTGCTGCCATTGACAAAACCTTAAACGATAGAATGAAGCGTGGGAAAAACTTAAAAGAAAACTAAGAAGCTAATTTTGATCACTTGATTTCAGACATGGTTGGGAGAGGGCAAAAAATAGACGAGTTATAACTTCAGCGAGAGAGAAAAATTCAATTGGCAGCTGTACAATTCAGAGGATAGCACAAATTTGGAGAGAAATTTGCAGATTTTCGAAAGTAAAAGGAAGTAAAGAAAAGGGGGAATGCCTCGAGAAAGTGATTGAAAAATGTAAATTGATTGGGACTAACACAGTGACCTGTGCTAGGGGGGGAGACCGTTCGACTGAGTTTTATAAATACACCTTTACTCCACTCAAGACCTTCAGTTGACAATGACCCATATATACAATGATGTGCTCTCTGATGCATTCCCTGCGTATGTTGGGTCAGTGGTATGAGTTGAGCCCCATCGTAACAGTCAGCTGAAAAAAGGTTGAGTTCTTCCAATTTCGTCGAGAAGAAAACACCGCCTATCAGCTATCGTGTTCTTATCAAGATACCGAGAACCTACCAAAACTCAGCACCTAAGATGCGTTAGAAGAGCTCGCGTTGCTTAAAATGGACAATCAACCACCTCATGAGGAATTTTCAAGTTCTTTATCGTCATCATGTGTCAAAGAGTACATGGAGTCGTAATGCAATGGGCGAGTTGGCGCCACTTTTAAGCATTTTTAAGGTCCCTAATTCCGAGACTCCTGTGTCACGCCGGGTCACTTTTTCGACGCATAATCGATTGTTTTCGATACACGTGGACCTAGCCATCTGATGTGACAAAAAGGATAGAAATTACTACGTATTCTACATCGCCATTTTGGCTCGAAAGTGTATTGAAAAAGTGACCGAAGCTCGGCGCACACCGGGCTCGAAACTCGTCGATCAGGACATGGCGCTAGCTCTCCCATTTACATTACGACTCTACGTACTCAACGTCTTGTGTGCGAGGCGAGATGGGACGCATCGTCAGAATTTTCTGGGTTTCACGATTTCCGAACGAATGAAAAAAGTTGATATGACGTACAGTGGCGCGGCATGCTCAGCGATGTATCGATCGATCTGCTACTTAAACCTGTGGAAAAATATCGATATTCAGGGTGTTCGCAACAAATACCTTAATAATCGATTCTTAACCTTAGCTGCAAATGGGGGAATATCTATAAACAATCATTCACGCCTCGCCACTGATGACGTACGAAAGAGATGCTCTAATAGAACATGATTTTTTTTTCTTTCTGTTCGTCTCGACTATTCACCTTGTAATCGGAGGGAGGGGTCAGAATTTTATGACCCGGGCTGCAGAGGCAGCCCAGGCATGTAAAACCGGAGATGTTCACGTAGGAAAGAAGAGTCGTCAAAATCATATTCGCGGACGTCACTGAGGTAAAATTTGGCGACCCGACAAGGCATAAAACGTTGAATACGTGAAATTAATGAGACTTGCCCATCCTTTTGATTCGTTCAGGAAGTAAAAAATAAATATTCTCTCGCGAATGAAGTGAACAAATTTAAACTGCTTAGTATTTACGAAAGGAGAAGCTGCCATGAAGAATTCTGCAAAACTTGGGGTGCACTTCATCTCTTCAGTTCCAAGTATTATTTGAAAAATTGGCTCGACGATTCCTTGTTAAAGAGTTTTCAACGGACGAAGTAAGCATGATGAGAAACGTTGAGCCACCAAAAAAAGAGAGGACGTGTATCATCACACAATATATACATGTATTAAATCACTTGCAGTATAAGTAATATGCATTTATTTTAAGGGGCAAAAAGAACGGGGAGAAATTTATAGAATAAAAAAGAAAAGAGGGAGCAAGCATAAAAAACCGAACTGATTTGATTATTTCTTCTACTATTTGGGAGCCTTCAGATCTGAAAAGTTCGAAATGTATACTTCTTTGAGAGAATATCTAATACTTCTAATACTTGAAAAGTTCAAGATGCATTGCAAATACCTAAGATGCGAATGTTTCTCCTTCTGTTGTCCGGAAAATGCAAGTGGAGATGTTGTCCCATCAAAGTATTTGTACAGAGGTTTAGATCTACATGAAATTCATTCTTCATCTTTAAAATCCCGCGTATATATCGTTGCCTCTTGTGGTAAAAAAGGAGGAGGGGGGTGTTTATTGACGGATGACTAAATAAATAGGAAATTGATGCAACCGAGAAATTTCGGTGGCTAGAAAGTGACTCGGATGATCTTAGACGGATTCGGAGACAACGTCATGTGGTGCATCGAATGATTCCAAACAAAACAGTAACCGAAGAATCCGGAACAGATGGTTGGAGGGTTTGTGCCAAGTTCTATCGTGATGATGTGTAGCATTGAGACATAAAATATTTCTCTTGAATGTTAAGTAAGTGTACGGAGAAGACACTTATTTCCTTTCTTGCAAGGAAAATTCTCTCTGACAAAATGAGAAAACGCATAGGAACACCCCTGAAAATTTGTTTTCGATGAATTTCGGAGTGGAGGTTTATAACTGGGAAATCGAAACTTGCCCAGTGCATATGTAACAACCTGATTCACGGTTGTCACGAAATTAAGAAAATGAAATTCCCTGAAACATTTGAGTAAAATTCCCTGATAATTGAACATATGTTAGTTGGTTAAACAGACATAATTTGAAATAGTTTCCGGCGAACATTCGTTGTTCAAAACATCAAAACCCTTATAGAAAGCAAATAAATGCGAATTAACTATTTCCCTGACACCTGCATCAATTTGCCTGACTTTTTAAAAACCTTTGACATTTCCTGATATATTCCCTGACAGTGGCAAGCCTGTTGATTCTATTGCCTGAGGCGATGTCTTAAATAATTTTTTCTTATTTCGTTTGAATCGTGGTTTAGGAGCATGAACCATCATTGGAATATCAGCAATGATCCCCTGGATGAACATTAGCCTGCGTCAAGTTATGATACGGCACGGCAGCATGTGGATATTACGTCTTGGAAAGGATATGTTTTAGACTGGAGTATGCTCTGTGCTAGGAAAAAACACCGTATGAACATTCGAGAGTTGCCAAATTTCCTCCGATAAAAGGTTTATTTTTTAGGTAAGCTATCAATATTTTTCCTAGAACTTTTTGCACTATATGGATCAAAGTAAGAGCGAAATTCTCTGAAAAATCGAAAGAGAATTGTTTATAAATATTCCCATAAATCCGTAATTTATTAAAGGAAATTTGGCGACACCCGAGGGCTCATACGGCGTTTTTCCTTAGCACGGCAGTATGGGAGGATCGAGAGATCGAAGTGGGTGCCGCGAATGGCGCTAAACAGGCTATAACGCCTCTTCGGCGCACATTGGACCGAGTCAATAGAAGAAGTCGGACAAAATATTGAAACTTCGAAAGCTCTTATTTGTTGAAAAGATACGAAACAAAAGCATTTAAATATAGTTTCATTGGTGTTTTCGTGAAATTATCTTTCAGAACCACCCCTTGAAATTGAATTTATGACGAAATTAACATCGAAATTTGGAATTTTAGCCAAAAAATTTCGTGTCCGACTTCTTCAATTGGCTGGATCCACCGTGCGGCGGCTTCGTCTCCGGCAGGGCTTTGGGCGAGTGTTTCCGCCTTCCGCTCGGTGCGCTCGACTTGCCTCAGCCACTTGTCATGGCAGCTTCGTCGATGATCGATAGGCAAGGCAGAAAAGAAGAAGGAAAAAAACAATCCGCTTCTCTATTCAGATGTTCCAGGGCCCCGGCAGAGCCCTACAAAACCGCACCGACGAATCCGACACCCGCCGCCGCCCCGAACGGCACGCGATCCTCCAGCCAGNCCCCCCAAACGCACAAATTTCACCCCAAAATCCCCCTTCGTTTTCATCGAACGCTGAGATTTTTCCATAGAAAAATTCGAGATTTCGGTGCAACTCCGCTAAAGGACTTTCTCCAAAATATTATTTTAATGATAGAGGATTTGTAGGACACCTGGAGATGCGTCGCTTTTATGGCGTAAGGGCGTACTTCCATTTCCGCATGAGCCCCGTAAAGAATGGATTTACATGTAAACAGTGCTCCCATTCCTTGTCCGTCGAAAGTTCCGAGATTCGGAACTTTTTTGTCCCAATTTCTCCTACTCCATGACCGTCCAAAGTTCCGGGATTCCCTGGAGCTTTTTTCAAAAGTTCCGGAAAATGCAAAAGATCCGGAACATCATGGGAATTTAAAAGTTCTGGAAAATCTCAAAAGTTCCAATTCGGAACTAGTTCCGGCGGACAATGGGAGCACTGCATGTAAGACAGGGGTTGCGTCGAAATGGAGAAACGCCCTCTAGTCAGAGGAACATAACGACAACAGATCCAGCCACCACAGATGACTACGCACGGATAAGCTCGCAAGAAATCCGAAATCATTTCGAATGCAGCACATTTTTTACTTTCTCGCTCCCCTTGCGGATAAAGGAAGTATAGGTGCTCTAAAAAGAAGTATTGTCATCCAAAAAACAAAAAGGTGAAATTTCATCGATTCTCGGCGTTCATTCAGTATGCAATAGCGAATCGACTAGAAAACTATACGATAATCTCTAAAGTTTATGAAATAGTTGGCACTGATGTCCGTAACTTGACGGCGAAAATTCGTGAAATCGAAAGAATATGAAGTTGGCGTCCTAAGTAAACGTTCAACAAACGCTTTAAATGTAAAGAAATATTTGACTTTCAGATGGACGTGAGCCGCGACCGACCAGGCAGATTACATTTTGATCGAAAAAAACAAACAAAAACAGATAGGGCTTTTCTCTTAGAAGGCTCTTTGATTAGACTTTCTAAGCGAGGCAAGGACCGGAATGGGTTGGGTATCTCCAGTTGCGTGGCGTGCAGCGATAAATCGATTGATCCGCATTTAAACCTATGGATAAGGATTGATTATCAGGTGTTCGCAACAAACGCCTTAAAAATCGATTATCACCCCCGTTTTGAAGGGAGGAATATCGAAAATCGATTATTCACGCCTCGCTCACATTCGTGGATAATGCGAATGAGGGAGACAGGGAGCGCGCGTGACCGAGTGAAAATGCGCGGTTGCTCCAAATTGTAGTATTCTTGACAGGACACTGGATTACTTATTAATTTGCTTTTTCAGGGTCGGGGTTGAAGATGAAGCCTTGTCCTGAACAAAAGACTTGCAATTAATATTTAACCAACCGTCTTCTTTCCCCGAACGAATGTTCCACGCGAAAACTTTGAGCAACGAAAAGTTACCAGACTGAGTGATCGTGGACTTTTATGCTTATTGTTACAGCTACAATAAAAGAGCTGAGTGTTCTGTC